TATATATATATATATATATATATATATATATATATATATATAGTTTTTAGGTGTGCTATATTTATGGGATAAAGTTCTCATTATCAGAGATAGAGCGTATGTAAATATAAATATAAAAGTGAACATTGAAGTCAACACAGGCTGTTTCATGCTAGGCGCATTCGTCACGTAGCCTGACGATTGCCACTAGCATGAAAAAGCCTATCACCTCTGAGTGTTGACTTCAATATTCACTATATATATATATATATATATATATATATATATATATATATATATATATATATATATATATATATTATATATATATATATATATATATTATATGTATATTGTATATATATATATATATATATATATATATATATATATATTAAAAAAATCTGATTTTCCCAACGACTATAAAGACATTCTGCTTCAAAAGCGATAAATTTAGTGCTTTTAAAATCTGCGATATGCACGGAGAATCTCAATGTTGACTGAACGGTATTCCCGCTTGGTTTGTATTGATTATCCGTTCTCTTCAATTACTGGTTGTTCAAGGTTTTCTTTTTAGATAATAACCAGGAGGTAAGATTTTTTCTTGCAGAATTGATCTAAAAGCTTCCTCTCCAAAGTACAGAGGGACAGACCTATTCGTACGCCTTGCCTAGTCACGAAGTGCCGGCAACATATTCAACTCCGGCAATGATGTCACAACAACCTCTCGAGTTTGGTTAGCCATCTATTGTCTGAGTTGTAAACTCGGCCTTTGTAAATAGACGAACCTCGACACGGACATGGCAGATATCCAACACCTTGTAAGAATGGATCGATTCTTCTTTGCTTGGCCCGGAGTGTACTGTATCCACTGGTCAAGCAAAGGCGAGACATTATCTTTCTGGCAGATCAAACATTAATTTAACCTCGATAAGTTTGTACTTTCTTATTTTTGATTTTTATTTGTTTACCAATACCAGAGCAGGATCCTTTTGACTGGAGAACCTTTAACTTGCAATAATAACAGTCTCTGCTTTATTCTTTGTTTGAGAATATTGAAGGAGCTAGAAGTCGATCATTTAAGAAGGTACTGGTTCCCTGTGGAACAATTAATGGCCTATATTATGCAGTTTGATATCATTTGAAAGACTAAAGTTCCATTGATGAATTTCAGGGAAAGCACACTGACTCTTATTCTTGTAAGGTTGAGGCAGTCCCATCTTTCAAGAATACGTATTTTGTCACACACACACACACATACATACATACATACATACATACATACATACATATATGTTATTATTATTATTATTATTATTATTATTATTATTAATGACACCAGATCTTTTGTGACGATTAATTTTAATGATCGGCTTTACCAAATTATAAAAGATCTTACTCAGACAAGGTGGAAATTCCGTCGGAAATTATCCGAAGTTTATTACAAAAGAAAAGTAGAAGAAATGTGGTCCAAGCTTTCGACTTTCTGAAGTCATCATCACGATAGTTAGAGACAATTGGTGAGTTTTTTAGAACTAGATTGTGACGTAGGCAAAACGTGTCGTGACGTAAGCCATAAAAATATATTGTCCCACCAACTAACTCTGTTCACCAGAAAACAACCAACAAAAATGGTTTCTCTTATTATCATAACAACAAAATCTATAATATGATCATCAGATTCTACTTAATAGCACTCAGAATTTGCAGTCCTCGGTATTTACATGAGAAATATATTGAAAACGCATTCAAGCTTCTTCGTACCCCCATTATTTTACAGTCAATGCGAAACAAAAAACCCAGAAAATATTTTAAAATAGAAAAATGTTCCCTCCTGACAAACCCAATGAATCCAAAAATATACTTTAATACCTACTAACACTATCACAACTACAATAAAAAAGAACTTTTCTAAACTCAACTTAAAATTTCTTACTACTACATGAGTTAAAGATCAAATGTAGATAAAATATGGATCGGAATCCGACAGAATAATAAGATAAAGAATAAATAGGAAATGTTTATCAATCTGACATGTTTCATTTTTATGAAAGCTTCGTCAGAAATTGAGAGAAAAAAAGACAGAACTTTACTATTTTTAGTTCTGTGTGATTCGATTCTCATTGTTCAGTCATATATAACGTGCATTAAAACTTTAAATAATTTATATGTACGTTTGTAAAAAATCCAATATGTGTAAGAGGGCATCGGTTGGTAACCTGTATTTCTAACTGTGTACGTGTGTCTGTCTAGTAGGGGTTCTAATGTTTTCATTGTGCGTAGTGGGTGGGGGTATGCTATTAATCTGAGGCTGTTTTTATGTACGTACTGTCTGTATTAGACATAATTTAGATTCTTTAACTACAGATTCAAAAAAGGATGGCGATGTAATGTAATGTTTTAGGCGTGTGGTTATATTAGGTAATAATTTTATTATACAGTCAGTTGTGTGCCATGCGTAATACACGCTTATGCGATCATGGATCTTTCGATATAAGACTAACGGAGCAGTAGGTTGCCATTTCTTTCTGATGTAGACCAGTTGCCACCCAAAGCTATAGAACCTTGTCTGTCCTGCTATTTACCCATAGCTGGGGGGGGGTAGAAGAAAATGTTTCATACCGTTCCCAAATGAATGTGATGGATTCGAGTAGAATTCGAACTCGGCTCTCAGATTCCTTAATCCGAGCCGCTATCTCCACCTTACCTCCAATTTCAATATAAAGCTTTCAAAATATTTTCTCCTTAAAGAATTATGTTCTTTTTTTAAATAGGGTGCCATTAGTAAAATCAATGTTATGTCTAGCATTTATCCTGTGTATTAAGAGAGAGTTTGAATTTTTTTCCAAATGCATATCTCTCGTGTGTTCGTAAATGCAAGTTTTTAGATTACGTGATGTCTCCCGTACATAAATACTTTTGAAATATAAACAATTTATTTTTATACTTACGTGCATTCTTAACTTGTTTTAGGTTTATTTTCTTCATAATTATATCTCCGATTGTCTTGAATATGTTGGTAACGATCCTTGTATTAGTGATCAGTAATTGGTTTGCGAATTTACTTTTTGGTCGTTGTACGCTCCGGCCTTCTTCAGGTTGTTGGAATGTCGAACTGAACCCTTTATTTCGCTCACTGGGGTAGACTGTTCTAGTTCCACGTGCCATGTTTAATGGATGTCAGTTATCAGTTACCTCCTGTTAATTCCCGTCTCCAAGTATTAACCGGCTATTGAACTCACAGGATCTAACCAACGCCTTTATCCGCTGTGTCATGTGTCCTTGAGGCCGTTTTCTAGTGTTGGGGATGAATTGATATGGATAGCGAAAAAGTTTTGAATGTTTTCTCAATATATTTCTCTTCTTCATTAAGTTATCCAGGGCTGAATATCTTAAGGGCCCTGGGGTAGAATCATATGATTAGTCCAGATTTTATTCTTTGATTGTGGTGCGAATAGAAATTAGATCGTTTTTGCTTGTGGGTTTACGGTATACTTTAAAATCTAATTTCTTATTGTTACGTATTAATAAGATGTCGGGGAAAGGTAGAAACATTGTTTATCTCCAATTCATGTGTGAATTCAATCGTAGGTTCAACTTTGTTAAGTTTCACTATTATGTCTAATAGGTTTATGTCATGGGAATATACTAAAAGAACCTCATCTAGATATCTTAGGTATGTAGAGCTTTTTGGTATAGTACGTTTAAATGGAACGGATTCTAAAAATTCTAGAAAAAGAATTACTACTACATCTAAAAGAATAAAACACTTATTAAATACTAAACGAAACAATAAGATAGAACTTGAAGGGGGGAATTTACTATATCGCCTGTAATAATTGTCACAAAATATACGTATAAATCGCAAGGAGCCTAAATAAAAGATTATATGAACATAAAAGGGGCGTTCTACAAAATACAGTGTTGACATAAAAATGCTACTCTGATCAAATGAGAAAAATAATTTACTAAGCACGAGAGTTTCTTGATCTCAATCTCATATACAGTAAACATGCGCCTAGGCTCTTATAGCATTTCACCATTCCTAACAGATCTTCTATTATCACAGTATAGGATATCTATTAATAAAAGTGATGGAAACAAAAAGAAAAATAATGTCAATGAAATCGGCTGGAGCATATAAAACATAATTTAAATTTAAAATTAACAGCACCCCTTGTTCATGCGCATGTGTAGTCGCACATAAACAACTAAACGTCACACAAGAAAATATTTTCCACTTTGTTTTATATATATATATATATATATATATATATATATATATATAAATGTGAACATAGAAATCAACACTTAGAGGCGACTGTCTGTTTCATGCTATATGCAATCGTCATATAGCATGAAACAGACTGTCGCTTCTAAGTGTTGACTTCTATGTTCACTTTTATATTTACACACGCTCTATCTCTGATATTGAGCACTTTATCCCATAAATATAGCACACTTTAAGACTATATTTCTTCATATATATATATATATATATATATATATATATATATATATATATTATCCCTCATCAGTATCACGACTCGGAGTTTCATGCACAACGCAACTACAGGTGCTGAGTAAAGACTGACCGTTACGTAATTTAAATTTTAATAAAAAAATGTCAAGTTAAGCAATGTTAACACTGTCCATATATTATATGGGATTGCAGTTTTCTTTATTTGAAAAATATATGTTGCTATTAAAATAGACATTTTAAATAGAAAAAATTAATTTTTATTTAAAGTTGTGAATATTCATTTTTTTACTGTTTTTTTTATTTAAATTTTTTTTTAATTTATACATTTATGCAATTATTGTTAAAAAGTGTGAAAAAATCTAAAAAAAAAACCCTAAAATAGAAATTTCATAATTTGCATTAAAAATTAATCTGGATCAACGTATTTTAACAGATACTTTTTTATGCTTACATGTAACCATCAATTTTATCAGTTTCTCTCTCAATCGGTCTGTTTTAACCAACGTTCTCAATGTCCTGCATCTTTTTCATCTGGTTTATGGCAATATCACGTTGAAACACCGATTCCCGTACGATCATCGAAGTTAAGCAATGTTGACCTTAGTCAGTACCTAGAAGGGTGACCGCTTGGGAATACCAGGTTTTGTAAGCATTGATATGCGAGTGGTGTAATTGATAAATAATGGTTCGAAATTATTGAGTTCTTGATATTCACTTACACAGAAATAGCATTAGGAAGTTATCTATCAAACTCTTCTCCACCAGCTATGGATTAATTAGTAAGACTTGTATCACTAAATCCGTACACTCTAAAAATATTTTCTAGCTTTAAATAAACTGCAAATGGTTGATAAGCCGTAGAAAACGAATCAATCGAAATCTTTTATATATGTTTATATTCAAAGCACGGGGCCCTTCAAATATTTTCCTTTTGGTCAATCAACTTTTTTACATATTACGATGTTCCTCAAACCTATTTTTCTGATATTTCAAAGTCATATTTCTTGGTTTCATTCTGCTCATGATTTTATTTTATTTTATTTTTCCCCATGATACAAATAGCCACTGTTTATGGGGATATGTGGGGAAGATAACACTATACAGGTTGAGATTGTTGTGGTCAGGGAAACATACTCCTGGAGGCCGATTCCATAATGTAGCGCTTCATGGGAAATAATGGAATACGAAAGGGAATAAGTTGTGTTTCACTGTAACATGCGTGAAGGGTAGAACTATTTTACTGTTCTTTCACCCCTGCTTAACGCTCGTGTAATTTCCAACGTTGTGTTCCAGTCACTAAATAACTTCGCAATAGCCTTGTGTGTCATTTGAAAACCTATCATTCTCACTATTCACTGTAATCTACAGGGTGTGATGAAAATGTCGTCCAAATTACGCAACAATGAAAATAAAACTGGCATCAAATTTATTTACCAAAATTATAGAAAAATATCTTGAAAAAGTTGTTCAATAAAATGTTCCCTTTTAAAATAGAGAAGTCGTTTATTTGGGATGCAAACTATGCCGATTCATTTTCGACCGGTAACTTGGCCAAGTCCGCGGTTGAGCCGGGGTCTGTCGTTCGCTACGCGGATAAAAAAGAAACAGTTAAATATTCTTCTATTGCGGACAGATTATTCTTACTTCTCTGGAAGTGAAAACTTCTGGGGTTACTGGCCCTCGTTCGATGGAGTTCCTTCGGAAGGTGGGCTGGATGCCGTCTCGATTAGTGGGGGGAGCCTCGTGAAACGGAATGATTCTTGTAGGTGTCACTCACTGGCGATGGTGCGTGGAAATGCTTTCTCCATCATTGCGGTTGGCAGAGAACAGCAAAAAGTAGACATTTTGTTTTTGTTTATAGATAATTCGTTTAAATAAATTTATTTTTTTATTTTAATAAAATTGACATTGTCTTCAATCCCAGCCTCCAGATGACTTCGGCAACACTTCTGGACGGTACCTTTTGTCTAAATTGGTGACTGATGCCATAATCCTTGCCTTCAGTTCACCTTTGTTGTTACAAGGAGTTTTATTGCTTTCTCGCTCAACTGAACCCCATACATAATAATCAAGTGGATGCAGTCTGGGGAGTTAGGTGGCCATATGTAAGGTAATGTGGTCACAGAAATTGTCTGATAGTCATGACCGGGTGCTCTTGATATTGTGATATGGTGCAGAGTCCTGTTGCCAGACATAGGTTCTTCCAGAAACAACTCTCTTGACGCAGGGCAGCACTACCTCCTCAAGGCACTTGATTTAGCCCTCCGTGTTGAGTCTTAGGCCTTGTGGGAAGATGAATGAAGACATAACGTCGCCATCACCAGTGATCACTCCAAACAACTTCGTAATCACCATTGACGGTATCCTCTCTACTGTCCTCAGATTAACACCCAAAGACTCTGAAATGGTAGTGCCAAGCAGTACAGGGTGCCGTTTTCAAATTTCTAGCGGAGTGAATTTCGCCGAGGTGCTCTTTTTTCCTCGTAGACGGTGTCCAAATGAACCTACTATGCTATGAAGTCGATAAAATCAAAAACAAAAAACGGTCATGCGCGAAATTAAAAATTTAAAATAACTACAATTTACCTATTGCACCCTGTATATATCTCCAAAAGAATAAAGCAAATATCAGTAACTACGTTATTATTAATTATGTACTTATTTAAGTCAAGGTAAATTATCTTCGTGTTTGAGTTGATGCCGATCTTAATGAAAGCGAGAAGAACGAAAATGTATTTCTTATATAAAAAGAGCATCGTTCGGATATAAATTCTAGCTTGGTACCTTGCAAAGAGTGAGACCAATTCCTTTGAAAAACAAAGACATTTTTAAATCACCTGGTCTATAAAAACTTTCCAATTCGGGTGTCGAGGTACAAAATCTTCTTACAGGTTACCCTCAACCAGTAAGGCGAAGTAAACAAATGACAGCAAGATGAACCATGTCAAATCAAAGATTTCAAGACAGTCGAAGATGAATTTCAAAAGCTAAGCAGAGTATTAAGAGACAGAAAAACTTCGTTAGAAACAAAGAAAAAGAGTACTAAAATGTTACGTGATATCTGTCTGTCTGTATGACAGTAAATGTTGTCAATCACCTCAAAGATGAAGAAGAAACTTGAGGCAACAGAAATGTGCGTCTACAGAAGGATGCTGAGAATACGAACATGTGAGCAACGACGAAGTTTTAGAGAAAATGAAAACAAAAAGGAAAATTATGCTTAACATCAGAAAGAGACAGTTGAATGTTTTGGGGCACATAACGAGGAAAGAAGGCTTGGAAAATATGATACACGTGGAACAGATTGAAGATAAAACCGGCAGAGGAAAACAGTGCATTGTTAACCATGTTTGCCGTAGTCTCTATATATAGAATCCAGTGAAGTCCGTAACGTGTTCAATATCAGAGGTTGGCAGTGAAGATTCGGAGAAAGTAGCAGCTGTTAAGTAATTCTTTAAGTCTTCGATATCAGAGGTTGGCAGTGAAGATATTTTGGGAGAAGAAAAACAAAATGGCTGCCATTATACACGTCGGATTGAATATTTTGAGCTTTCTGATTGGTTAACCCTTTTCTTGGTGGACTATAAAATGAGTCAGCTCATTTTTATTGACTCACTAGTACATAGATATATCCAAAAAACTGTAACATGCATAACATACATGATGAGGTTATGTAAAGGAAATACGGAATAGGGTTTGGAAGAAATAACAAAAATACAACAGTTATTAAGTGCTGCGAAGAAAAGGAAATTGTGGAGATCCATGATAACCAGAAGGGATACGGCACATAAAAAAAAGATGGTCACCTCTGTACCTAGACAAGCGATGAAGAGATTGAACCAGCAATCACCATTTCTTATGACTGCTACAGTCAGAGGATCACCCCAGCAGCCTCGGACTAATGGGAAACATAACATATTACACGTGAATTAGAAAATAAATAAAATACGCTCAGTCGATGTCGATCGCTTTGGAGAGATAAATCTTGTAATTGTGCAGTCTGCCGTAGACAGAGATAGTGAAAAGATGAAAGATGATTATGATTGTGTTGCTTTGTAAAATATCACATCAAATGATTTTATATCCAATAGAAGCGAATATTATGAGCGGATATTATCATAGTATATTTCAAAAATAAATATAATTTTAAGACAAAGAAAAAGACAATTCTCTCACATATGTCGCTGATTCAGCGACAGATAAACTAATACTTATATAAACAGATTTCTCATTATGTTGGAGGTATTTCTGCCGCGCCCTGTATAATGGTCAACGACTCTCGTTTCCAGAGCACATCCGTCTACTAGGGTGGCAATCCAATTTTTTTCGCGGGTACCTGCTCAGTTATATCTGTGGTTTATACTGCATCTACACCCTTATGCAAATTAATTGTAACAAAAAGAATAATTCTGTTATTATTTACTTTTTTCATATTTTTTCAATGACCCAGTGCACATGTTAGTACTTTGTATGTCTGTTCGACGAAGTCGTTCCTTGCAGATTGATCACAGATTCTCGACTTGATTTAAATCAGGAGTGTTTCTGTACCAATCTATAGTACTTTGATTTGTTAACTGGTAAGGCTTGCCACTGTGTCTGTGCAGCGTTACAATTTTCCTACGCTTCCTTGGAGTAACGTACATCGTAGACAATGGCCGCAGGACAACTAATTGACAGTCGAGACAATGGTGCCTGGGCGTGATAAAGATATGATTCAATCAGAGATGACCCAATATTTTTCAAAGTCGAACAAATTTCATTATATACCTGGGAAATAGATTCATATTACTGCACACCATTGCAAAAAAAAAAAAAAATAGGAATCGATCACACCATCTCACTCCAGTGAGTCTAAAAGTGACCGTATCGTGAAAGAAAGGAAACTAAAGCAGTTGTTTTAGTTACTTTGCACAAGGGTGTATATAAACAGATTTCTCGTTAAATATATTTATAAAAAAGATTTCATATTTTATATTTATATAAAAAACACGACTTGTTGAAGACAAAGACATTTCAAAGATATTCTATATTACATCTGTCTATATTTCTGTGGTAATGTATTGTAACTAATTACACTATTTACATTGTTCGTACTGTTGTCTCTACAATCACTTGGCCTAGATGATAAAATCGTTGGTTGAAGTAATCCAGTGACTTGACCCAAAGAGTTGTGAGTTCAATACCTGACCAACATGGAGAGTGAGTTACTAAAGGGACATAACTGAAACTGAGATATACAGAAACGGAATTGCGCTAGTAAATGGAACAATCAACTCCAGGTGGGTGAAATAAAGGATTCACTTCGAAATTCCAACGTATATTACCTGAAGAAGACCGAAGCGTTCAACTGCCGAAAGCTCGGGAATATGACAAGATGAGGACAATAATCCGGATAATATGAGTTGTGAGTTCAACACTTGGTTATTGCAGTGATGAATAACTGAGACATCTGGAAGAGGCATGTCACGTGGAAATAGAACAATCTACACCGGTGGATGAAATAAAGGGTTCAGCACGAAAATTCCAGTCACCTGAAAAAAGCAGGAACGTACAACGGCTGAAACGTCATGATTATGGCAAAAAGATGGAGAGAACAGTCCGAACAATGTAAATAATGTAAATAATTACAATAACTCATTTAAAAAATAT